TCTGCAGCAGCTAAAATTAATACAAATCATGGCTAAAGAAAAAATATCCAATTATGAAAGAAAATAGAACTACAGCGACACTCATTTGAACAAATTGCTATTTGCAGTTGTATCCAACATGTATTGGCACTCACACTGTGCCAGGCACTGGTCAAAGCCCAGGAGGTCAGCAGCAGACAAAGTATGGAGGCAGACAGAGTAGAAGAGGTAGGAATTAACAATACATATACAATAACAGTAAACAGTACATAATAATATATGTAATCACGTAAAGTATCTGGTATCACATTAGCACATAGTAGTGGTAAATGGAGTGAAAGGAAAAATAAAGAAAGCTAAGGACTATGGCAAGTGATGGAAATGTCATTTTAGGTACAGGTTCTCTGGAAAGCACACCTAGAACCGGTATCCTATAAATGTTAAGGTCTAGAGATCTAGAGGCAAACAGACTTGGATTTTGAATTGCAACTTGACAGTTCATTAGCATTGTGTTCCCAGGCAGGTGGGTTGTCTTCCTAAATTTCAGTGCCCTAATCTGTGAAGTGGGGATAAGGGAACCTTCTTCAAAGAACTAGTCTGAGTGCTTAGCCCAACACTTGGCATGCAGCAGTGCTCCATAAATGTTCATCCTTACTGTCTGACGTGTGTGTGTGTGTGTGTGTGTGCGCGCGCGTGTGTGTAAAGCACTCATGCTCTATGTATCTGTGCTAATTTAAGGAAGCTTCTTCAGCTATCATGGCCCCATGGTTACATCTGTGGCTTTAACAGATTAGAAGCACAGTGCCTGGATCTCTCTTATATCCCTCTGCATTTCTCCAGTTGTCAGTAGACCCACACTGTTTCTGATTAACTTATTTTCCTTGGGGTGCTACGAAGTCATTTTTACTGACTGTCTCTACTTTAACAAAAGGAAATGTATAATTGTTGAACTGCCAGAGGGCATAGTTACTGTTGTATTTTCCTACATCATTTCCAAAAGGTGAACATTTCCTACCAGCTTTTGAATCTGTCTTCCAACTGGGTAATGCTATATCCATCTTACGCCCAGTGGAGGTGATTATGATAAGGTATGAAAGAAACAAACTGGCTTACATGTAAGAAGACAGCTCCATACGTCCAGACTGGATTCTTAGCAACATTGCCACAGATAATAGATGTGACCTTTCTAAACTGAGGAAGGTTTTTTCTTTTTTTCTGCTTTCATAGACAAGAACGTCTGATAATGATGGCAGATTATGGCCTGTACTCTGACTGATTTCCCTGGCACCTCAGCACATCACGCAGAATTTTTTTTTTTATTTTTATTTCCTTATTACTCAGCTTGACTGCATACTCCTCAAGTCCCTTCCCACACAACCTGGTTATTCAGGTTACTTGGGGGATCAGCCAGAAAACTACTTTACCAGAGGAGTTTATGAGACCGGTGACTGGGAACAAATCGTAACTGGTGGCAGACCCAGAGCTAAATACCAAGGCCTCTGACTCCTGGACCCCTGTATCCATTCACTTACCCTCAGCTTCCCTGCCCTGAGTGAATATGCCAAGATTCCCGCAAGATTAACAAGCAGGAATATATTAACAGAGAAGGAGTTGATTTTTTGCCCTGAGTATGAATTTTTCTACAAACCAGCCACAAATGCCATCAACACGGGCCATGTATAACCATAATATTATTTAAATTTATTCTGCTTTCATAAAAATGTGTAGTAATACAAAACACTAGTCTTAATGTTTTGATCAATTTAACAGATAATGAGATTATGTGTCCTGAATAATAGCACCAAAGACTACAACACATCCTATGAAAACCGGAGCTCTAGCAAAGAAATTGGAATGGGTCACTACATTTTAGGTAGTTGTATCATTCCAAAATCAGTCATGTATGGGATGAGGTTTCATATAGAATCCATCTGGTGCTTGAATTCACAATGGCTTTTTCTTTTATGCTAACTCACATGTGTGCATAAGTTGTTATATATCTGTTTCTATCAAGAGAACCCTTTATGAATTCCTGGTAATCATTTCAAAAGGGTAAACATATACAGGAGGCATCAGTCATCACAAATAAAAGCAAACAAAGAATTTAAATTCCTTGTGCCTCCACACACATACAGTTATTGACAAAATTCTTTAAGTTAAATATTGCTTGAAAACTATAAGTTAAAATTGTCATTTTTCTTTATTTGGAAACAAGGAGTGGCTTTTATGCAACAGCATACTTAACTAAGCATTTCCCTGGACCCTGTACTTCAGGTGACCCCACATCGCACAAACACAAACAAACACTAAATGTATTAAAGAGCACCTGGGTGCCACTGTCCCTGGGAACTGTTCAGTGCTGCTACAGCATAACCGGGGGCTCTAAACACCTGTTCTAATGATTGACACCATCCAGGCCTCTGAGACACAATTATCTATGTCTCTTGCCCTGCGTCCTGGCTGCTGTCATGAGGACCGTGCAGGTTTTACGGGCTGTGCCACTGCAGATGCTGGCAATGAACATGACTTCAGAGAGGAGAGTATGAGCAAGGCATGTTTAAGCAGGAGAAGAGACGAATCAGTCTACTACTCAGATTCTTCCTCTCGAACAGCATGAACGCAATGGGGTCTTACATTATGAAGAACAGAGCATCCCCTTCTAGGGATATATCGTAAAGCAAAAATTTAGAGTCTTATTTAAAAAAATAGATGCAAGGATGTTTTTTAAATCAGAATATTTGTTATAAAAAGATTATTATTTTCTTCAAAAAAATGCCCCTAAACATTCTAAAGCTCCTAAAGAATTCCTTCAACTTGATGACAAATGTAATGAATTAGCTGGTCTGAGAACCCTCAGTGGTCACAAAACATAATGCAGTACATTTGCAAAAACCTATTATGACTGCGTTGCCTTCTATGACCTCAAATCAAATTGACCTGCTCGATACGATTTAGGGTATAGCTGGGGGAAATGTTTGTCTTGCTAAATTTAAGGAACAACAAAAAGGACAGGATAAATCTGAATCCAAGCCTGGTCAAGCAAGACCACTATTTACACAACAGAGGCCCCAGTTCATGTACATTACTTCTCACTCAGATGCTCATTTCCTCTTTCTTTGGGGGCTGATATCTCTGGGTTCCAGATTTCCAAGGCAATGTAGCCAATTTTAAAGTCCAATAAATATTTTAAAATACAGCCTTAAGGAAAAGTGGAAAGAGACAATCCCAGGACAGAATTTCAGGCAGTTTTAAAGCAGGACTACAACTCTAGTTCCACGATCTTTGCTGCCTTTGGAATAATGGATTTGTCATTACCGAGAGCAAGGGGAAGCTACAAAGGCAATTAAGATCTCATTTTGAAAAGATCCACTTAAGCTTCTCATTACATTGTTAAATAAAATTAGAGATATGATAGTATTCCTATTTTTAAATTTAGATACCACAGCGTACAAAATTAGAAGTTAGTATACAGTTTCTGCCAGGGTTAATATTTACTCCTTAAATTCATCTGCCTATTGCTGTGGAATGTGAATTTTAGGTCATAAATGTGGATTGAAAACCAAAGTGAGGTAAAGCAGTTTAGACTTTAGAAGGACACTGTATTACAGTACACTGTTCTTTCAGAAAGACTAAGAGAAAAAAAAAGCTTTGTATTAGTCAGTAGTGTTCAGTGTGCTATTTATAAGGGGAAGTCAATTATGTATACATATATAATTAATTAAAAAAACATCTGAAGTGGGACGCCTGGCTGGCTCAGTCGGTTGAGTGCCCAACTCTTGATTTTGGCTTAGGTCATGATCTCATCATTCATGGGTGTGAGCACTGCATCCTGCTTGGGATTCTCTCTCTCTCTCTCTCTCTCTCTCTCTCTCTCTCTCTCTCCCCGTCTCCCACTCCCCTCCTTGTGTTCTCTCTCTCCCTTTCTCTCTCTCTCAAAATAAATAAACATTAAAAAATGTTTTAATCTGACGTAATGCTAAATTGTTTACAGTGGTTATCTCTGGTAAGGGAATGGGGTAAAAAGCAGCTAACTTGAGTTTTTGCAAGAAGTATATGTTCATGTATTAAGTATGTGACTTGAAAGTGAGAAGCGCTTTTGTAAGAGAGCGGGTGTTGCCTATTGTTTGCTTCCGTTTCCTACACTTACACAGCATGTGTCTCGTGCCTGGCTCTTCAAATCGTGGTGGATAGCAGGGTGCCAGAGTGCTCTCTAAGACACAGAAGAAACATGGTGGATTTTCTCCGTGGTCAGTTATTTAAAGCCTTATTTTCTTTTATGTTAAAGCAAAACTTAAAACGTAAAGTAAATAGGATACAAAATTTGCTCAAATTATTCCTGTAAAACGCAAAGCCTCAGTCGATGTCGTACTTGCCATGAACCACTCAGGGGCTCCGATTTGTGGGGAAATGAGAGGTGAAAAGTGAAGCTTGGAGACGTTTAACGACTCGCCCGAGTCATAAGCTACTCATATCCATTTGTTTAAATAGACAAATCAACTTTTTTACCAAGGCATGATTGACATATAACATTAACATTAACATATAACATTAAGTTATATGTTAACATATATATAACATATAACAGTTTCAGGTGTACAACAGAATGATTCAAAGCTCTTATATATTGCAAAATGATCGCCACAATAAGTCTAGTTAACAAAAAAAAAGTTTTTTTAAGAGAGAGAGAATGCAAATGGGGAGAGAGGGGCAGAGAGAGAGAGAGAGAGACAGAGAGAGAGAGAGAGAGAATCCCTAGCAGGCTCTACACTCAGCACAAAGCTGACACAGGGCTCAATCCCACAACCATGAGATTATGACCTGAGCTGAAATCAAGAGTCAGATGCTCAACTGACTGAGGCACCCAGGTGCCCCAACAAAAGAAACTTTTTAAAGAAAAAATGATTTTATTTGTTCATCCTTACTTAACTGCTTTTTTTTCTTTCTTCTTTTCTTTATTGTAATCATGCACAGATACTTTTGCATACATGTAACTGAATGTAATTTTTTTGTTATATTTTTAGACAAGAGGTGAAAATGGTTAATTGCAAAAAGTGTGCGAGAGTTATACCAGCAAGTGTTGTCATACTCGGGATGGCAGTGGAATGTGCAGAAATACGAAGACATCATAGGTAAGTGATTTTTTTTTAAATAGTAAATATTAGAAAACAGTAATTTTAAGGTTCAAATAACCTTCAAAGGTTGTTTAGGGAATATTTATTTGGATGAGCATTTGTAGTTTTGGGACCTTTAAATTCCTGATGTTTTTTTCTAGTCTTAATTCCTACTCATATCCCTTGTTAAAGAAAAATCGTTCCGACACTTGTTAAAAATGGCAAGGAAGGCTTTGTGCAAGACTATTACAATAGGGAGAGAAGTTGAGTTGAACTCTGAATATAGCAAAGGCAGACAGCAATAGAAAATTACTCAGAAATCAAGGGTGGGGAATTCTTGTTAAAGCAGGCTTACCAGGATTCCTGCTAAAGGGAGGCCAAATATTTAATGCCAAGGACAAGGGATGAGGAGTTTGATCAAATATCAAGGGGAGGGATTCTCACTAAACTGATTTAGTAGGATGCTTGCTAAAGTCAGGCCAAGGAGGAAGCCTCGTCAAGAAGCAGGCTCAGAGGAATCCGACCACAGTTTGGTCAAGGAGGGGTCTTTGTCACTTTGGGTTCTGTTTTCTATTTTGTTTTATTCTCTTCTTCCAACCAATAGCATCTGCCCCCACGAATTTGTTCTGGCTAAATGCCAAAACCAGTCTTCGGTGGCAAGAGTGAAAACGGTAAGATATGACCAATTTTAAAATAGTTTTGTGGATTTTGGAAGCTTTTCGACAGTTAAAACACACAAAAATCGTTCTCTGACTTCTAAAGTTTTTGTAGGAAAACAGAAAGCACACTTCTCATCAAGTGGTTAAACAGGCTTTTTTGAAATGATTGTCCTTACACATTTGTCAGGAAATTATACAAGTTTTGGCCTTACCCCAACCACTTCCTCCCTAAACAGAAGGCATGAAATAAATGATGCTTCTGCTAAAGATGCATCCCTCCTCTCCCAACTTTAAAAACAAATTCCCAGGGGCCAAAGAAAACATTTTATTTTGAAAGTGTACTTCATTTTTCAAAGTTGTTGTTATTTCCTGCATCACACAGTATGAGGTTTCATGTGGTAGCTCATGTAGCCTTTACAGATAAACATAAGGTCCACGAACAAAACAATCATGGCCCATAGAAAGCCTGGAGGCTTAACATCATGGCGTCTACTGCTTCACTTAGATGGGCTGATACTGATTTTCTTATATATCAGGGGACGTCTACATAAGAGTCTCCATGATTTAAATATCTTGGGGAGCTGTTCTTCATAGGAACCAAGTGAAAAAGAGTAAATTCGTGTAAAGTTTATCTTTAAAAAGATTTAGTGTTAAAACTCTGATTGCCAATTTGCACCATATTTATGTTTAGTTTTTGAAGGGTTCAGTTCTCTCTTTATGCACCTTGGCTTCTGGCCGTAAGGCGGATACCCATTTTTTTTTTTCCCTTGGAAGAGAGGTTGGGATTTGAGGCTGGGCCAAGAAAAGCCAAAGAGGCTAGGAAGCACTTACAGATGGAGATAATTAGCATATTAAAAATAGGCCAGCCAAATTTTGTGTGTGTGTGTGTGTGTGTGTGTGTGTGTTTTAATCAGGAAGTGGAGGGGTAAATGCTCTCTCTGGCAAGACTATAGAAGCTGTGTGGACGGAGGAAATGTGATTCACACTCTGGTATGAGAATGGTATTTTACTTGAACCAGGTTTCAAAAGACTGGAGCAGGAGTTCCTTTTACTGGAAACCATGGAGTTGGCGGGCTTTGTAGGGGCCTCCCTTGAAATTCTGCTCCAAGGCCACTGTTTTGAATTTTGTTTGAAAGTCTTAGAATGGGAGACGCTTGGTTTCGGAAGACACAGGACAAACATCATGAGCTCTATTGCTTTCTAATGCGGTAGCGGAAATGGTATTTCTGATACCACCTCTCATTGAAAGGGGATTAGAGAAGAAGGCAGTAGGTGGGAACCATGGCCCGAGAACAAAACTGTTTGGGCTTCCAGGGGCCGTTTTGCGAATCCTAAAGCAAAGGGCCGAGGCTGATCTGGATTCAGGCTCTATCAGTGGGGTATGCTTAATTGCCAGATAATTCACTGTGGTTTCCTGAAGTTCTGATTCACAGAGTCAGCCCTTCAAATCATATGTTCCACCCATTCTCTGAAGTCTACTGTTATTCAAAACAGACTTAAGGGGTGTCTGTCCTGGAACAGGGCTTCTCAGTGGGTGCTATGGGCACCGAGGACTGAATACAGAACTATCCATTTGCGCCGAGAGACTTGTAACAATGACACAGAATTAGCAGTCCCTCGATTCTCATGGGCACCTCAAAGTGTAGTTAGCCATCTCCTACCGACTCTACTTACCACGGATTTTACAAACAGGGCATGTTCACAATCACTATTTTCTAAAGCTTCTTTTTTCTTCTTCAGGTAATAGAATACTGCGAAAACATGTAGAAAGAGATTATGGAATTTCCGTAAAAAAACTAAAAAAATAGAAGGGAATATTTTCAGTCTGAGTAATTTCATTGATGACCTACTTAGAGGAAAGAGACCAGAGCGGCCTCTTGCCCACTTCAACGCCCCTGGCTGTGTAGTTGCATAAGTAGCTGGTCCTCCCGTTGTCAAGATTCGGTCTTGGGTTTGCTTCATCGGTGAACAAAAGCAGAATAGGGAAAAGGGCCAGCAAGGCACTGCTTATTTTTAATATGCCTCATTTGACTTTACAAATGATGTACGTGTTTCTAAATTTTCATAAAATTGAAAACTTTAATTTAAAAATAGGAAATAACAACAGCCAAAATTGTGGATACATATTGTCCTGCATGAAGAGCTCTGGCCATTTAAGGAGGGTACATTCTTTTTTTTTTTTTTTTTCTTTAAATTGAGAGAGAAAGAGCAAGTGCATGCAGGGGACGGGCAGAGGAGAGAGGGAAGAGAATCTTAAGCAGGCTCCACACTCAGTACGGATCCTGATGCAGGGCTTGATCTCACAACTCTGGGATTGTGACCTGAGCTGAAATCAAGAGTCAGATGCTCAACCGACTGAGTCAGCCAGGCGCCTGGGGAATATACATTCTTACTTCATTAGGTGATCCTATGGCAAAAGGATAGAAGCAGTGTCTTCAAATGTAAACTAGTCTGCCTGCTAATTGTCTTATACTCTCAGGGTTTGGAAGAAGCAATTTACAAAGGAAAGAAAGATTGGCTGGTTCTATAAACTATTGAAAAGGTGTGAAATGTGGAACTTGGTTTTGCTTGCATCTGAAGTGCATTTAATTTTTCGTTTTTCATTTGAATATTGACCTGGTATAGTGTGTGTAGAAATACATGTTATACACTTAAAATTACTTCAACTTGACCTTGGTTAAAATTTTTTTAAAAGCATAGATCTTAAAATCCCAGTGATAGTTAATGAGAAAGCTTGAATGGGAAATGGGAGAATTCCAAGTATCGAGCTGGTCACGACACTGGAGTCAGGATGGAAGAATGGATAATATTTTATTACCAGTTACCATAGTTATAAGCAACATCAAAAGCACTAGTAGGAGGGCCTAACACCCAGTTTCATTAAAATTTATTTAACCTATGTATCCTGTCATCCTGCAACAAGTTTCTAACTAGCTTGTTTTACTAAGAAGAATGCAGGGAAAGACTCCATGATGACACCCTGGTGACTTCAGGGTGTTTTTGTAGGGGAAGGCTGAACCTCAGCTTATCTGAGTCTAGATGGAGCATCTTGTGACCCTCCTGTGACAGGAGAGGGTGGGGGTCTGTGGGGAGTTGCTGTGAGGCCACCTCCTGCTCACCCCCTCTTGGCTCCCCTGGGAGACTCTCATGGCATAGGGAAATTTTCTCTAGACTCCCCTCTCTGAGGCCTGAACAAATAAAATAAAATGATTTTGCCACAAATCAACTTTTGAAAACACCATAGAAATTCTCTTTCTTCCTCATGTCTGCTTGACTAAACAGATTTTGAATTGAATATATTTTGGACAGTAGGAGGAAGCAGTCGAAGGGATAGAAACATTGCATATTAATGAGTTTTCTTGCTGCGAAGTGTGGCAGATGAGAAAGAGTAACAAAAACTGCAAGTCAGTTAACCCAAAACTATTTGAATAAAATATTAAGTATGGGAACTTTTTAAACTTTTATCATCATTAATCTATATTTGTTAAATTTATTATTTTTTTCCCTCCGAAGTAGAACTTAAACCATGGGCTAAGAAACACACAGTGCCCTGGCTTAATGCAGGAAAACATTGTAAAGATTTCTCCAACTGCCTACAATTTCCCTGACAGCTGCTCATCAAAGCGATAAAATATTTGTATCCATTCATCAAGCAGGCAACTTAACCACCCTGCTTTGAGATATGTATATCTCATTTAAAAAGTAAGGTTATTACTGGGTGGCTCAGTCAGTTAAGCATCGAACTTTGGCTCAAGTCATGATGTCATGGCTCGAGAGTTATTTATTTTTTTTAATGGTTATTTATTTTTGAAGGAGAAAGACAAAAGGGAGGGGCAGAGAGAGAGGGAGACAGAGAATCCGAAGCAGGGTCCAGGCTCTGAACTGTCAGCACAGAGCCTGATATGGGGCTCAAACCCACAGACTACAAGGTCATGACCTGAGCTGAAGTGGGATGGTTAACTGACTGAGCCACTCGCACGCCCCACAGCTAGAGAGTTTGAGCCCCTTGCTGGGCTCTGTGCTGCCAGCATGGAGCCTGCGTTGGATTATCTATCTCCCTCTCTCTCTGCCCCTCCCCCACTCATCCTCTCTCTCTCTCTCTCTCTCTCTCTCTCTCTCTCTCTCTCAAAAATAAATAAATATTTTAAAAACATTTTTTTAAAGTAAAATTATTACTATTTCAAAGGGCTTCCAAACCGTAATAGATCTTATTTTGCTTTATAAGAAATTCTGCTTTAACCCCGCGAAATAAAGCATAACTGACGTGATGATAGAACCGGGTAGCATTCAGAAAGGTTGATGAGCTGTGTACTTGCCTTCACCTCTGGGAGGGGCTCTGTTCTTGAATCCTCTTGAGGTACGTGGTGTATCTTCTTCTTTCCATCCATCTATCCATCCATCCATCAAGCCCACAATGAAGGTCCTCAGGGATCAAATCTTCTTCCAAATGCTGTTTTTTCTTTCTCCACCAGTTACTAGGGAGCAAAAATATCAATAGTATGCAAATTGAGATCCTGATTCTACCTGGAATGAAGAGATGTGTAGTCTTCCCATGAGCCAAAAAAATTCTAGTGCTACATGGCTATGAGAAGGGAATATACTGAGGATTCCAACGTCAATGGAGACTAAGAAATGACAGTCCAAAGCAGCTGTCATGTCAAGAAGTATTTTTTAAACCTCTCCATGTGCTCAGCAGTGAACCAATAAGAAAGG